CTAAATACAAAAAATTTAAAAAAGTTTAATATCAAAAGTTTCAAATCCAAATGGTTCTCTGCAACATCTCAAAGAAGACCGTGATGTCTTCTTTGAGTTTCTGAATACGAAAACTCAAAGAAGACATCACGGTCTTCTTTGAGCTTCTGTATTCTTTATTGCTTATTTTTATTGATATATTCATATGTATATATTTTTTTATATTTTATATATTGTATAAATATAAAAAATAAATATAAATAAAAAAAACAACAAAGAAAACAAAAAGTGATAAAGTTTGGCAGTCTTCTTCATAAGTTTTCTTCTTACGGTGTATCAGATGACATCTTTAAGATTACGGTGTATCAGATAATATCTATAAGATTATTAAATCTTTTTTCCAATCGTAGTATAAAAGTTGTCCTCAATGGACAGCCTTTTTCTTTATATGCTGCAACTTCAGGGGTTTCATAGGATTCTATCCTTGGCCCTATACTCTTTTTAATTTACATTACAATCTTCCAAATATTTTTACATCTAAGATGTAAGATTATACTAGCATTTATTCTTGTCCTGATAAGAAGCCAACACTCTCTGATTGCTCGGAGAAAGTATTTAAGCTTGAAAGGGATCTCACTTTTGTTTTAGCATAGGGCTCACAGCGGCTGGTGAACTTTAATTTCAATAAAAACCAATTTTTTTCAGCCAATTGTTATCGTAATAATTTAAGTTTTCCTATATTTATGAATAATGTACTCGATGAGTCATCTTACCTTCATCTTATAGGATTAAGTCTTACTTCCGATCTTTCTTGGAAACCATATATCAATTTTATTGCAAAACTAGCCTCAGCTAAGGTTTATTCAGAGCTCTATTCTTTATTTCTATAAATCTCAAATCCGTCCTTGTTTAGAATACTGTTGCCATATCTGGAGCGAATCTTCCAATGATGCCCTTTCTCTTTTAGACAAGGTGCAAAAACGCAAACATAGTTGAACCTGCTCTTACTATTATTGCATCGTCGTAATGTTGCTTCTCTTTCTCTTTTCTACAAATACTATAACGGGCTGCTCTAAAGAGGTAGCGTCTTTTGTGCCATCTGCTAAAGTTCATCCTTGTGTTACTCGTCATTGAATTAAGTCTCATCCTTTTTTTGTGACTGTTCCTAAGTGCTCTAAAAACTCTTATTTGACTAGTTTTTTTACTCGAACAGTTCTTCAGTTCTTTGGAATTTGCTTCCTTCTTCTCGCTTTCCTGATTTATATAATTTGCAATATTTTAAGTTGTATGTCAACCGTTATCGTGCTCTATAAACTTAATCTTTTCTTTTCAAGTAACTTTCAACTCTAATAGTTGTTGCTTGCAGTCTTGTTGGAAGCAAAGATCTTAAAAAAAAAAAAAAAAAAAAGAAAATTTTTTTAAGATTTTTCTTATTATTTTTCTTATTTTTTTATAAATAAACTGTAGCGTTAAAAAAACAAAACGTTGATTACTTTGAGTTGTTTACTTAAATCTTGATATCTGTTTCAAGATAAATGTCACTACTGGGTATAATTACCATATGAATATGTTATAAATTGTCATTAATGTTTTTAACACAACATTTTTATTTTTAGGATTGATAAATTTTTGAGGTCAGTCAGGATTTTTGAACATTTGACGTCAAATATTCAAAAATCCTGATTGACCTCAAAAATAGTTTTTAAAAACTAAATATTTCAAATCCAGTGTCGTTTTTTTATATATGACTTAAATAAGGTTGTGGAGCGTATTTTATTTAAGCGTATTTTATATATGTGGTCCATATTTTATTAATATTTCAATTAATGTTGTGGAGCACACCGTTCTCCTAAATGAGCAATAAGTGTCAACTCAAATTCCAAAGAAACCGCAATATGCCTGTGAAAGCTTATGACTCCTGGATTCCAAAAATATAAAAAATCAAATCATCCTATTACGTTCGAGAAAGAAAATCACTTTTGAAAATTTTTATTTTGCACATATTCATGAAATGACAGCATTCTCGAAATTTTACATTTTTACAGCATATCTTAATATTCAAAAAGCTCTTTGAAAATAATAAAACCTACTTAACATAATAAAGAAACAAAAAATATGAAAATGTGAAAGATTTTATGTTATAAAATTGGTAGTAATCCAAATAGGTAAAAGATCACTTGGGTAAAATATTGCCTTTCTGAAAGTTTTTTCTATTAAGTTAACTCTAGAATAATTTCAATTATAGTTTTTTTTAATTTGCACTTTTTGAATAATATTGGATAATAATTTAAATTTAAATTATTTTTAAGAATATACCAAAAAATTCCGGGAAAAGGCAGTTAAAAAATATTTTCAAGAATTTACCAAAACAATTCCGGGAAAAGGCAGTTTACTACAAAGCTTTTGAAGGTCGATTTTTTAACCTTTTCTCCTGAAATAAATTGAAAACGCCTAATCATGCAAGAAGTCATGATGAGAACAGAAAAGTTGTTTCTATCATGTGTCTTAGAAAAGGAAATCGTGAATTGACACCATTTTTGGTCAGCAAATTTCAAAACAACTACAAAAAGCAGTTCAACTTTGATGATCCAAGAATTCCTCAAGGTCATTGTGATCCGTGTAGACTGGCCTATGGAAAGTGTGATCAAGGGCAGAAGGTTGTTTTTCCCAAGCTGTTTCAATTTGAAACTATTGATATAAAAGTTCACACACGTGGTTAAGCTTGTGATTGCTTGATTTGTGACATAGGGCGACTTAAAATGACTGAGAAACACCCTCTTGAAAGAACAAAAACTGGAGAAAAAACATCAGACAGAAGATGTTCTACATGTCTCTCTCAAATTGGTCGAGGTTTACCCCATCATTGCTCTTCATCACAGTTCCGTAAAAACTTAAGGGAGCTTGCAAAATCTGTTGGAATTGTGGCAGAACACATTGCCAGCTCAACAATTGTCAGCAAAGAAAAGCCAAAAGGAGGAGAACTGCTCCCAATCACACAAGGTTTGTATATAATTTTTCATTAAGGTCGACCATCACATTTAAGTAACTGAAATATTATATTTTACTCTTTGATAGGTCCTTCTTGCTCTAAGCAGTTGTTCAAAGATCCAGCTGTAGTCACTGCAATGGATCATGCTCAAGTTCAACTAAAAACAGGATTTTCAAACAGTGGAATAAAAAAACTGACTTCCATCATTAGGCATGTTTTGTCTGCCAAAGTTCAGGAATCAAATATATTGCACAAGTTCCAGGATCTCGGAAAAAGTCTAGAAGAACATTTTACACAAACCCCAACAACATTCATTAGTTCAGATCAAAAGAAGTCTCAAAGTGTTGTTGTCCATTGCAAAAATCTCCAAGCACTCACTGAAGAAGTTTTACTTTCAAGGACGGTTTTCTCAAAACACATCATTAAACTTGGAATAGATGGTGGTGGAGGTTTTCTTAAATTCTGCCTTGGAGTTCTACAAAATGAAGCAGATAGTGAAGCTGTGTCTCCGCTTTGCACATTCAGCCCCAACCTTTTCATGGTGGTCAATTTGCTGGGAATGATTGCCACAAGTTCCTCAAAAATCCCGACCTTCTCCAAACACTGGCTGAAAATGACAGCGCCTTTTAAGTTTTCAGCATCATTGACAGTTTTCAAAATTTTGGTCCCATTGTTTCTGCATGTTTTGGCATCAAGTTGGCATTAAGATTGCACTTATGCAGAAAAATCGATTCATTCAGAGATTCATATTTGGCATTGCCAAGAGGAAGCATCACTCCAAAAGTACATGCAGTGTTTTTCCATGTTAAGGACTTCATCCAAAAAACAAGGTCTCCTCTTGGAATCTACAGTGAGCAAGCAACAGAATCTATTCATCATCGTTTTCAGAACCATTGGCAACGATACAAACGACCTATCAGCCATCCAGATTATGGAAAAAGGCTAGAAATGTGCCTAGTTGATTTTAACAGCAAAAGTCTGTGAACAGTTTGGAATTTGTAAAGAATTTTTTTTGTCAAGAATGTTGTTGCTTTAAATGTGGAATTTATTTTAATATTTCTTTTGTATTTACCCACATGATCTTTTACCTATTTGGATTACTACCAAACTATTATTGAAATTATTCTTAAGTTAACTTATTAGAAAAAAATTTCAGAAAAGCAATATTTTACCCAAGTGATCTTTTACCTATTTGGATTACTACCAATTTTATAATATAAAATCTTTCACATTTTCATATTTTTTGTTTCTTTATTATGTTAAGTAGGTTTTATTATTTTCAAAGAGCTTTTTGAATGTTAAGTTTGCTGAATGTTTGCTGAATGCAGCATATAAAACATTCTTTGCTGAAGAATGTTTAATATGCTGTAATAATGTATATTTCGAGAATATTGTCATTTCATGAATATGTGCAAAATAAAAATTTTCAAAAGTGATTTTCTTTCTCGGACGTTATAGGATGATTTGATTTTTTATATTTTTGGAATCCAGGAATCAAAAGCTTTCACAGGCATATTGTGGTTTCTTTGGAATTTGAGTTGACACTTATTGCTCATTTAGGAGAACGGTGAGCATATTTTAATTAATCATATTTCATATATGTAGAGCATATTTTATTAATATTTTAATTGATGTTGTGGAGCATATATATTTTAAATGATGTTTGTAATTTGAACAGGCCCTTACTTTAAAGATTTTAAGAGGGAAGGTTTTTGAAAATAAATGCAAATTAAAATAGCAAATAAAACTTGCATGAAACAAAACTAAAATGGCAAAAAAAGAGAGGGAGGGGGGTTGATTGCCACCCTAGTACAAATACATGTACAAATATATATATATATATATATATATATATATATATATATATATATATATATATATATATATATATATATATATATATATATATATATATATATATATATATATATATATATATATATATTATTTCTATTAATGCTTGCCGAATTTGTTGTTCTTATTATTTTTTTAAAGTATTAATAAGATATTATTTCTTTATTAAGTAGAAATCATTGTGCTTCAAATTTATTTGTACAATAATGAACAATTCGTCAAAGTTTATTGAAGAAACGATGAATACCATTCAAATTAATAACTTGCTTCTTGTAATTGCTTTTGCATTTATATTCTTAACAGGAGGCATTGGAAACTTGTTAGTTATATATGTGTTTGGTTTTAAAAAAAAGCTTAGGCATCGAATAACGGCTGATTGGTTAATTTTATATTTAGGGGTTGTTGATTTTTTATCTTCGATTTTTAATCCACCACTGTATATATATTTTACAATTACTCGGCACCAGCAGTGGCACTTTGGTAAACTAGGATGCAAAGTTTTACCAGCTTTGGGTCCCATTATGTCTTCCATTTCGTTTGGTGTATTACTAATTTTTGCAATTGATCGATACCTGGCAATTGTTTCACCAGTAAAAGGGTCTGTTTTATCTTGGAAATCAGTAACATCAGCTTTTGTAACAGATATTGTTTTGTCTTATTTTGGGTATCTGCATTATATTTTAGGACTAAAGGTTAATTCAGGCATAAATAATAATGATATTTGTGAAGCACCTGAGGAAATCTTTTCATACAGTGTAGCCAATAGTATTCTTATTAGTTTTCGAATTGTGTTTTTTGTTACCGTGTTCACATTTACCACAGTAAAAATACATTTACAGCTAAAAAAATGTCAACACACATCGTTTAGTCGAGAGTTACAACGAAAACATCGCAAGGGTTCAAAAGCTATTTTGTTTGTGCTAATAGTGATGGGCGCGGTATTCAGTTTACTTGTTTTTCCTAAAGAAATTCTTCATTTAGCATACAGCTTGTCGTGGCTAAAAGATAACAATGGAATTTCTCACACACCTATGTTACTAAGAATAAGTTCCTGGTTAAAAGCGCTTCACACAGCAAATAGCTGCGCCAATGTTTTTATTTATTCGAAGATGCACAAAGTTTACCGCAAACAAATCTTTCAACTTTTCTACCATATTTTCTGTAAAAAAGAATATTTAAGACAAAGGTATTTTATAAAGTTAAACGTTATTCAAAAGCCCGACAGAACTTTCAAATTTTGCAAAAAAGTAAAAGAAAGCGCATTTTCTAAATAATTACTACTTAAAAGTATATGCTTTATATAACTAATGTATTATAAACGTGTAAACTATTTTTATACACGTTATATAACTTTATATAAACGTGTAAACTATTTAATCATTTCAAATTTTTTAAATATTTCTAATTAGTTGAACTAATTGATATAGATAAAGAATTATTTTTTATTTAAATTATATAAATGTAATAGAATTATATTAAAACCTAAAAGTGCTCGACATATAAATTGTACGTAATATATAAATGAAGCAAAAAAATGTATTTTTAAGAATTTTTTTTGTTGAGTTAAATAAATATTGCACAACTATAACATAAATAGAGCGAAGAATATAACATAATTTTGGTTGCAATTTTTTTTTTTAAATGTAGACACAACTATGTGAAGTTTTCATAATATAAATAACGTTATATCATAATATTATAAACGTCATTAATGACATAACGGGGAAGGAAAAAAAAGTTCACCATTTCTACCTAAAAATATTTTCAACAACACTGACATAATCTGTAAAAAAAGTCACTGAAGAACTCAATAAGTATTTTATCTAAAAATAATTTCACCATTATATTCATTTAAAAACCACATAAAACCTGCAAATAACGCTATTATCTACGGTAATGAATTTAGCTAAAAAAATTTAAAGAAATTATTTCCTCTTTGAAAAAAAAACACGAGGCTTAGATGCAGGGCCGTACCTTGCGCTTCGGGCAAGCAAATAAAATTGCGCCCCCCTCTTAAAAAAATATACAAAAAACACATTATATATATATATTTACATGAAAAAAAATTAATTATTGATCACAAACTTCAGTTCATGGTCATTTTCCTGGCTTTTTTGGAGGCAAAGTCACTAATGACATCATCAAAATCAAGTGCGTCGGCCACTTCATGTTCAATTGAAACTACTGCCAGACAAGACAAACGTTCTTGTCTGGCAGTATCTCAAATAGTTTTTTATGATCTTAAGTTTACTGAAACTTCTTTCACACGTGGCAACTGTAACTGGTAAGGTGAGGAAGATACGAATAGCAATTGCCGTGTTAGGATAAGCATCAGTCAATGTGTATTTATGAATGAGCTGCAAAATGTCCATCGGGCTAGATTTTTCAAAGTTTTCCATCATGGCAGCAGCTTGATATTTAAAGCTTGCCATTTCTGACTGGAAATCTGAAGAATCTAAATCTGCCTTGTAAATTTTAGACAAATTTTTGGCTTTAGTCTTAAGTTCATCCACTGAACTTTTGGAGAGAGAATGTCCACTGAGGAAGTCAAAATCTGAGGATACTGCAGACATAGCTTCAAACCGCCACTCAATTTGTGTGAGAATGCTGTCAAACGCAAGGTTGCACTGGGATCCGAAATCTGTTTCTGATGACAAACGGCAAAAGTCATCTTCAGCTTCATAAAGTGCCATCTGCTTCACTTTGCCCTTTCTCTTCATAGGAAAGTCTCCTTCAATTCCAATTTGGATAGCTGTTTCTGCAGCAGCTTTGATAATGTTGTCCACCCCAAGATCTCTCAGATTCTGAAAGCCTTCAGTCCTTTCATTTTTTTTGCTGCAATGTCAGTTAAAATGTTTTTATACTGAAGCAGTTTGTTTTCCCGGTCAATTAAAGAAAGAATTTGACACCAAAAATCCAACAAACACAGAAAACTGAAATCAATTTGAATGATGAGCTCTTTTGCATTGCAAACTGAGACAGCATTTGTCTTGGGAGTGTGAATTATGGATTCCAAAACTTGAAGAACTTCTTTGATTTGTCTGTGTAGTGGGGTGATTGCGTCTTTTTTGGCAGACCATCTTGTATCACTATTTCCCTTTAGTGAGATGGTCAATGTTTTCATCAGTTTTTCCCATCTTAAGGTAGAACTTGAGAAAAAGTTAAAGATGGCTTGAATTTTTCCAAAGAATGTAATCATGAGTGGAGAAACTTCAGCAGCATGGACACCAACAAGGTTTAAAGTGTGAGCTGCACATGGAACAAATCTTGCAAACTCATTTAGAGAATGGATGTGAGCTTGGACGCCATTATATTTTCTAGACATATTGGCTCCATTGTCTTAACCTTGGACCCGACAATCAGAAATGCTCAGGCCATCCTTCTCCAGTTTTTCGTTGATTTCAGCTGCAAGGCCCTTTCCAGTTTTTTCGTGAGATTCAATGAAGTCCACAATGATGCAACGTGTTCAGCCACTAAAGATGCAACATGTTCAGCCACTAAAGGATAATAATGGCTTATCAGCTCAATTAAGTTCAGAAAGATGCCACTGTTTTGCTCTCCAATTACTTCTGTTGAACCCCGAAGGGCAAGATTGTTCTTGGCACAGAACAAAATTGCATCAACAATCACTTTCAAGATATCTCTCTACTTTTTCATCTCTCCGTTGATAACTCTCTGCAGATCAGAATCCAAGGTCTTTCCTTCCTTGAGATTTTTTTCCAGATTTTTCCAATCAGAATAGCATCTTTGGTGTTCATTGCTGTTTTCGTGTTCTGGAATTCTTGGGTTTAGTTTTTTCCAGTCACAAAATCCTTTTGAAATTTCTGAAAAATTGTTGGTTTTTGTCGTTGAAAATAGCAGACAGCAACAACAAAACAAAGAATCTTTTTTGTTGCTGTACAGCAGCCAGTAGCGAACAAATTTTTCACCATTGGGATGAATTTTTTCATACCATTTTGAGCTGAAGTGTCGCATTCTGTTGTCAAAGTCAAAAAGTGTGTTTGGGAAAAATTCTCTTTTTTTGAGAAAAAGTTTTCTCCTGAGGTTGCTAAAATTTCTGAGATTTCAGGAGGAAATTCACTGTTGCCCATTTTAATTGGTTTGGAAAGCTGAGAATTTCTATCTTCTTGTGCTTCTGAATCATTTGGTCCAAATTCGTCTTGACTTTGGCCAATCAAAATCTCCTCTTCAATTAATTCCAATGGATGATATAAATTTAAGTCAGTAATTAAAGATGTAGCAGCAACTTCAGCTGTTGAATCATTACCAACTTCATTGCAAATATCCTCTGAAATAATTTGTTTTTCCACAGAAGAGTTTGTTACCAACCACTTCTTGAAACAATTTCTTTTGCATCACTTTCAAGACGGTCTCTTCTTTTCTTCTTAAATTCAGCACCAGATAATTTTTTTGCACGATTCATTGTAAAAAATAATGTTCAGAAAATACAACATTTTAGTGTTTAAGGGCGCTCTTCTGTTTGGTAAATGAGCTTTTATTTTAAAGTTCGTCAGGAGGCGCAATTTTAATTAATTTTCTTATCAACATAAAAGTGACGCCACGCAAATTAGTTTCATAATGTGAAAATAAATAAATTAATTTGGGGAATTTTGCGCCCTCCCAATTTTGGCGCCTCAGGCCGCGGCCCGGCTGGCCCCGCCTTTGGTACGGCCCTGCCTAGATGAATTAGCTAGTGATTTGATTATTGCAAACGAAATAAATCTAAATAAATTTCCAATCCAAATACAAAGACTATCAATAACCTCTGGGATCTCGGATGAACTTGAGTTCGCCAAACTAATTCCTATATAAAAATGTAAAGATCATTCGAAAATTAATAACCCTATGTCAATATTTTCTTTATTTTCAACCTTTTCTAAACGTCTGTTATATAATTGAAGCAATGGTTCGTTCACTAAAAACAATTTATTTTTTTCCAAATTAATTTATTATAGAATCTATGATTACTTCACTTAAAACAGTTTATTTTACCCAAACCAATTTGGGTTTTAAACAAACTTTTGAAATAAGCATGTAATCATTAAAATATTCAATCAAATAACTGATGGTTTTAAACATAACAAATTTATTTTAGGAGTAATAATTGACAAATCAAACGAATTTGATACAGTGGACTGCATTCTTTTTGATTCATTAATATGTACAATTTGGAGTGTTAAATGACTCATGTCAAGTCCCACAAGGATTATTTCTTGGTTCACTCCAATTTTATTGTGAATTTGTTGGACTAAATATTTTAGATTTATTAAGTAAAATAATCAATATAAATGATTTAGGTCTTTATCACGACGATGCACAGTGGAAAATAAAGGTCTGTTTTAGATCAAAAATCAATAATGTTTTTGTTACTAAAGATAAAGTGTTGAAATTTTGCACAAATGTAGAGTAGTATATAGGGCTTCTAAGGAAATATTTTTTATAAAAAAAATTTAATATAAAACGCGTAATATATATATATATATATATATATATATATATATATATATATATATATATATATATATATATATATATATATATATATATAATATATATATATATATATATATATATATATATATATAATATAGCTACAGTTGCACAAAAAAATATGGAAAGAATTATAAAAGGTCACAACAATTCTTTGTTAAACAAAAAAGAAATCCAAAATGAAAAAACTACAGAAAATTGTAACTGTAAACAAAAAAACTATTGACCAATGAGTGAAAGCTGCTTATCAAAAAATGTGGCATATAAATGTGTTGTTTCCTCTAAGAATGTACCTGATAAACAATATATTGGCAAAACAGTGGGTGAATGGAAAA